AGAAAGGATTCATGTGCTATGTAAAGGGGCTGTAGTACACCTAGATCTAGTACAATATCATTGGAATCACACAAGTTTTTCAACCAATGCCTATAAGGTGGGATTTGGGGAACTACTGTGTAAATTCTCCTTACCCTTGTTGAGCTCATGGTAAAGAGACTTAGCTCCTCTAATAATCTTCCTCTAAGGTCAAGACTTCCCTATTTTGTGTAGATTAGTAAAAAAAAAAATACCTCTTCCTGACAGAATTATCCCTCTGACTTTTTAAAAAAATAATTAAGTTTATTGGGGTAGTATTTGTTAATACAATTATATAATTTTCAGGTGTACATTTTCATTTGACATCTGTATATTCTATTGTGTGTTTACCACTCAAAGTCCAGTTTCTTTCAGCTACCATATATTTGATCCCTTTTATCCACTTCACTCTCCCCTTAAACCCTGTATTTGACCCTCTTTAGCCCATCTACCTCCTCCCACCTCTCCCACCCCACTAGTAACCGCTACAATATAGTCCTCTGGTAACCACTAGTCTATAGTCCATGTCCACGAGTCTCCATTTGTATGCCCTGTTCATTTGTTGCTTTTAGGATTATATCCCACATATAAGTGATATCATGTGATTTTCAACATTCTCTGGCATATTTCACTTAGCAAGGTTATATCGAGGTCCATCCATGTTGTCGCAAATGGCAGTATTTCATCTCTTCTTATGGCTGAGTAATATTCCATTGTATATATGTACTAGTTTCTTTAACTAATAATCTATAATAGGACACTTCACTTGCTTCCATGTTCTGGCCACTGTGAAGAATGCTGCTATGAACATTCATGTGCAAATACCTTTTTGGATATGAGTTTTCAAGTCTTTGGGGTAAACACAGTAGAGGGATGCTGGATCATATGGTAGATCAATTCTTAGTTCCATACTGTTTTCTATGGTGGCTGTACCAACTTGCAGTGCTACCGGGAGTGCATAAGGGATCCTTTTTCTCCGCATTCTTTCCAATATTTGTTATCATTGTCCTGTTGATTATAGCTATTCTAAAAGGTATGAACATTGTGGTTTTGATTGGTATTTCCCTAATAGCTACTGATGTTGAGCATTTTTTCATATATTTGTTGGCCATTTGTATGTCCTCTAGGGAGAAATGTCTGTTCAGGCCCTCTGCCCATTTTTTGATTGGATCATTTGGGTTTTTTTTTGTTGTTGTTATTGAGTTATATGAGTTCTTTGTATATGTTGGATATTAAGCCCTTATCGGAGGCACTGCTGGCAATGATATTT